AACTCTTCAGAAATGAGTTCAATTTTACCATGAATTGGGACACTTTCCATTTCTTTCTATTCTAGAGAGCAGTTTACTTGTCATGAGCTCTGTCTTTTGAAAACTTGAAAGCCTGCAACAATAAAACCAGCTGCACCTGGTGCATGGGATAGGCATGGAATTGAGGAGCGAGCTCAAACTACGGTCAGTCCTCTGTATCCTCGGGTTCTGGATCCCTGGGTTTTACCAACTGTGCATCGAAAATATTTGGAAAAAAGTAAAACAATAAAAAAAAAACACAGGCTGGGTGCAGTGGCAGGTGCCTGTAGTCCCAGCTACTCCGGAGGCTGAGGCAGGAGAATGGCGTGAACCCGGAAGGCAGAGCTGGCAGTGAGCGGAGATCACTGCCACTGCACTCCAGCCTGGGCGACAGAGCAAGACTCCGTCTCAAAAATAAAAATTTTTTAAACTTTATAACAGCTATTTACAAAGCATTTACGTTGTATTAGGTATTATAGTAATCTAGAGATGATTTAAAGTATACGGAAGGATGTGTATAGGTTATATGCAAATACTATGCCATATTATATCAGGGACTTGAGCATCTGTGAATTTTGGTATCTCTGGGGTCCTGGAACCAACATCCTGAGGTTACCAAGGGATGACTGTTTTCAATTTCTTCTTTGGTTATTGGTCTATTCTCTAATGTATTTTTGTTGTTTTATCTTTCTGTTTTTGCCTCTTCAAGTCAATGTCGGAAACTTAGTTGTTCTAGTCTACGCATTTGCTCAGTTACCAGTAAGCAGACTACCAATGCAATCTAAGCAATTTATTTTTCTTCCCCATCAGATTGGCAAAAATTAAGATAAGCATCTATTGATGTTGAAGCTGTAGGGCGGTTTCCTGAGTATGTTAATTACAACAGCCCTTTTTGCTAGGCACCTAGAAGATTCATCAAAATGAAATAAAATACCCATGCACTTGAAGAAGTTATCTGGTTATTTCCTTATCTGGGTGCTGGTTATGTGAGCTCCACAGTTGACGAAAACTTATTAAGCTTTATATTTATAATAGGTACAATTTTCTGTATATGTAGTACATTTCAATAGTTTTTAAAACGTCTTTTGCCACAGCCCGCAGCTGTGTATAATACTATTTGCTTAACACTGGAAAACATGGCAATGACCTGAATCTCCCTGGCTCCCGGGATCCTACCCCCTTAAGTTAAACAAATGAAATAACTTCCACTGTCTTTCCTAATGTCTTAATTCAGTCCTCAGTTAAACTGGCGGTTGGCGCCAGTTTTTTCCAGGGAAGGATTCTGGGAGACAGAAGAGACGCCAGCAGTCCGCTGCGGGAACCTCCAGTGGGCTGCGGTCCGCTCCCAGTCTCACTCGAGCAGGCCCCGCCCTCCCAGAGGCGGTTAGTCCCAGTCACGTGATCATCGACTCAGCTGACCCTGCGGGACCGGAAAAAGGAATTCCCGGGCCCTAGCTTCCTGGCGCGATGGTGAGGCACCAGGGACTAAGCACGGGTTAGGTTGCTGGAGCGGGAATGAGGGGGCGCCAAGTGGCTCCGGAAACGGGGGCGGGGGGGGGTTGTCTGTACTGGCCTCTCGGCAAACACAGTGTGTGCGGGCGTGAGGGCTGTGGGTCTGGTAGAGAAAAGTCCACCGCCATCCCGCTCCCGAGCCGGAGGCGGGGGTGGGGGGCGGGTAAGACAGAGCAGGTGGGTTGGCTTAGAGTCCCTGTGCTTCCCTAGCGAAAGGAAGGGCCCCTGTCTCCCGGGGCAGGAACTAGGGCTTATCTCGAGCTGGGAGTCCTTCCAGGTCTTCCCCAGCTCCAAGAGGACCTCCCAAGGACACCCCCTTCCCCAGCCCTGCTGTGGGACTTAGACAAGAATGTGCTTAGACTCAGGCTCACTCTTGCACACTGTTAGGAAGCCCCTCCGCTCTTTCCAGAGCCAGAAAGTAGTAGTTCTGGGGTTGAGATCCATCCATCCCTCCCTCCCT